TTGGAGGCTGAGAGTGCTGCCGCGGGGGAGAGGCTTTCCTCAGTGGGGGACATCTGAACCGTTGACACATGATTACTTGGAGACCATAGAGACCATGGACCCCAGCAGACCTGATTTGAAAGAAGAACCCCTAGAAGATGCACAGGACTCCTGGTTCACAGCTGGAAGCAGCTTTGACCGACAAAGTATCCCCCCATGGTGTCCCCCTCATAACATCTTCTCCATGTCCCTCTTGGCATCTCCTGATGTCCCCCCATGGAGTTGTCCCCTTGGTGTCCACCTCAGCTTCTCCTGGTGTTCCCTCATGGTCTCCCCTCTCATGTCCCGTGGTGTCCACCTCAGTACCTTCTGGTGTCCCCCCATGGTCTCCCCTCAGTGTCCATCTCGGCATCTGGTGTCCCCTCATGGTGTCCCCTCTCATGTCCCCATAGTGTCCCCTCCATGGTGTTACCCCATAATGTCCCATCAGTGTCCATCTTAGTATCTTCTGGTGTCCCCCCATGGTGTCCCCTTCATAGTGTTGATCCCCTTCTGGTGTTGATCCCCTTCGTGTCCCCTCCTCCGCCGTGGGTCCCCTCCTCCACTGTCTTCTCCAACCCTTTTTATCCTCTTTTTTTCTCTTCCAAATGAGGACACCGAGTCCATCTAATGGCAGCCACCGCCCCAAAATGGTGTCCCGCCATGCCCTGGTGCCCCAGCCCCATGGCCCCGCCCCATGGCCCTGCCACACAGCCCCACCCTGCAGCCCCACCCCATAACTCCCATCCATTTCGGGCGCCATTTAAACCTCTTCCACCACTGATGTTGCTCCATGGTCATGTTGGGGTGGGGTGGGGTGGGCGGGGAGACATTGTGTCCCCCCTCCCGCACGCCCAGCTTCTCCTGGGCCTCATTAATTAACTAACAACTTCATTAATTAACTAACAACAATCATTAGGCTCTGCCCCCACCCCCCATCTTGGATGGGGGAGGGGGGGTGGAGTCGAGCGTTGAGAGGTGGTGGGTTGTTCTTCGTGGGGGTGGGTCACTCATGGTGGATCACTCGTGGTGGTGGGTCATTCTTCATGGTGGTGGGTCCCTCATGGTGGCAGGATCACTCCTCATCGTGCAGCTTCTGGGGTGGGGTGGGAGAGAAGTTGTGGGAAAGAAGGGGGGGAGTATGGGACATGCCGTGGGGCAGCGGTGGGGCTGGTGGAGAAGGTCTCACCTTGGCTGTGACGTCGCGGCTCTTGGCCCGCAGCTTGTTGACCTGAGATTCGGCCATGTCGGCGCGTTCCTCTGCCTCCTCCAGCTCGTGCTGCACCTTCCGGAACTTGGCCAGGTTGGTGTTTGCCTGTTCCTCCTGGGGGGGGTGCCCCATGGGGGGCTCAGTGGGGCTGCCCCACGGCTGGACGTCCATCCGTTCCACCAGCCATCCATCTGTCCTTCTTACTGCTCCTTCTACCCCATTCCTCTTTCTCCTTCTCCTGTCCCACCATCCATCCCTCCTTCTCCTCCCGTCCCACCATCCATCCCTCCTTTTCCCATCCCACCATCCATCCCTCCATCTCTTCCTGTCCCACCGTCCATCCCTCCTTCTCCTGTCCCACCATCCATCCCTCCTTCTCCTGTCCCACCATCCATCCTTCTTCTCCTGTCCACCATCTGTCCCTCCTCCTTCTCCACCCCTCCAGCACCCACCGCCTCCTCTGCCTGTCTCTTGTAGGCTTTGACTTTCATCTGCAGTTTGTCCACCAGCTCCTGCAGCCTCAGGAGGTTCTTCTTGTCCTCCTCCACCTGTGGGGGCAGGGATGGGGCTGGGGATGGGCCTAGGGCAGGACCACCTCTCCTGACCCCACCCCGGCCAAGGTGTCCCCGCCCAGAGCCCTCCTGGGCACAGCCTGGTGTAGGCCCAGCTCTGGTCCAGCTTCTCCATGGCCACCAGGCCGATGCCCTGGGTCACCCATGTCCCTGTGGCCACCAAGTCAATGTCTGCGGTCACCTGTGCCTCTATGGCCACCAGGCCAATGTCCTGGGTCACCTGTGTTCCTATGGACACCAGGTCAATGTTCAGTGTCAACCATGTCCCTATGGCCACCAAGTCGATGTCCTGGGTCACCTGTATTTCCATGGCCACCAGGCCAATGTCCTGGGTCACCTGTGTCCCTACAGCTGCCAGGTCTATGCCTTGGGTGACTTCTGTCCCTGTGGCCACCAGGTCCATGTCCTGGGTCAACCATGTCCCTGTGGCCACCAGGCCAATGTCCCGGGTTACCTGTGTCACTATGGCCATCGGTCCAATGTCCTTGTTCAACCATGTCCCTACAGCTTGGGTCACCTGTGTCTCCACGGGCACCAGTCCAATGTGCTGGGTCAACTGTGTCCCTACAGCCACCAGGTCAATGTTCTGGGTAAACCATGTCTCTACAGCCACAAGGTCAATGTCTTCAGTCACCTGTGTCCCTATGGCCACCAGGTCAATGTTCTGCTTCACCTGTGTCTCCATAGCCATCAGGCCAATGTTCTTGGTCATCTGTGTCCCTATGACCACCAGGCCAATGTCCTGGGTCGTCCATGTCCCTATGCCCACCAGGTCAACAACATTCTATCTCTGTGGACCGAGTGGCAGCGGGTCATGTTCGAGGTCCTCCCTGTCCCCATGGCCACTAGCCCCGGCCGCGCGGCAGGGCCAGATGAAGGGTGGCCATGCCGCGGTGGCCCCACCTGGTAGCTGAGCTCCTTGACACGCCGCTCGGCCTTGCGGAGGCCCTTGACGCTCTCGGCATGGCGCTTCTGCTCGGCCTCCAGCTCATTCTCCAGCTCCCTCCCACGGGCCTCCAGCTTCTGCAGCTGCTTCTTGCCCCCCTTGAGGGCCAACTGTTCGGCCTCATCTAGCCGCAGCTGCAGGTCCTTGATGGTCTGCTCCATGTTCTTCTTCATCCGCTCCAGGTGGGCACTGGTGTCTTGCTCCTTCTTCAGCTCCTCTGCCATCATGGCTGCCTGCCCAGGGAGAAAAGCCCAGGAGGAGGTCCGAGGCGTGTCCTCCATTCCCTCCTGGCGGAAGACATCCCAGATGTTGGTCCCACCACGGCACTCAC